AGCAGCACTTAACCGGGTGAATTTTCGAATTTTGGTTCGATTTTGTTAAAGTAAGAAAAATTTTAGTTCGATTTCGGTAAAATGAAATTTTGATTTGATTTTGTTAAACTAAGAGAAATTTTAGTTAGTTTAGTTTTGGTTGGAATACTTGGGTGCAAAAATAGCATTACTTCCTTACTTTCGTGTCTTGCAGTTTTCATGCCTCCAGAAGGGAGCAACCTAACCTTGATAATATATTGTAGTTTAGTGAAAATGGCATACTAACTAAGCTTAGATTGTTATTGGAGTGATAAATATATTTCTCCCTTGAGAGAAAAGTAGATAAATCAATTGCGTAAGACATTTAATTATTGAAGGTTAAGTTAATTTCTCGAAAGTTAATAAGATAATGATACGGAACAAAGTGTGAGCATGGATCGCCTTGACAATTAGAATAGTGAAATTGGTTAGTACTTTGGTTCTTGTGGTTTAAAATGTGGTAATAATTGTAGCGGCACTTGCTCGGAGAGCAAAACGCTGAAAATTTGAATTAGGATCTATCCTCCTCAACTCTTGCACTTTGGAACGTTCAAGCTAAGTTGCGGTGAGCTCAGAACTGTCTAAAACTCTGGTTGTCAGCATTCAGTTCAGTTTATTGTACTATGATCCGATGCAGGGACTGTATACGTGAACTGAGAGAACTTAACTATTTGCGCATGCCTTCCAGCTTAGAATTTTCTTTGGCTTCCAATTATATTTATGAACAGTGATATAAAGAAGATATCCAGATTTTAATAAAAATCTTTACTCTTTGCAGTTTAATTGAAGATGTCGACGCAATTAGATATTCATTTACGAAAAATAGATAATAAGGTAAGTATTGATGACAACGATCGTAAGCCTTATACCGACGTATACAATAGTATACGCGATTTTTTGTTAAATCGTATGTCTGAAGCGGATCCGGTCTTTAAAAGACTATACAAAGGTTACAATTTATTTGGTAAGTTCGCTGATGCCATCCACTCTTTAATTCTAACTCTTATCCGTTACGAATGTAATTGCAGGCAGTTACATGCACAATGTTCGCCTAGAAAAACCCAGCGAGTTTGATGTTCTTTTGACATTAAGAATGCCATATGGAGAGAAGATGCGCATAAGACAAGACAACGATCGACCAGGTTTTATACAATTGGAGTTTAACGATCTGTTAAACGAACTTAATAACGATCACAGTCTACGTTACGTACACAGCCAACTTGTTAAGTTAACCCGTGACTCAGCTCGGAAGCTGCTAGATCGTGGAAAGCTCGGAGATTGGGTAGCAAGCATCATTGAGAAGGTAATGCCGCGATCTTTAACATCGTATGGCAGAAGTTTAGATATAACGTACTCGAAAAGGAGCGTTGCCCATACTTTGTATGCAAAAGATTGTAAAGATACGGATTTTTCCATATCCATCGATTTCGTCGTAACCGTGGAAATTGAAAATATAGAATGGTTAAAGACCTATTCCAGTTACTTAGACGACTATTCCAGTTACTTAAAGCTGTGGTATGCTGTGCCAAAGCATTTTAAGAGCGAGAACAAATCTTTAAGCGACTTCTCTTTTCTGCTTGTGAATCCGAAAGCCGAGCACGATCACTTGTTCAATAAACAAAATTTAAAAGTCGTGTTTCGCTTGCTGAAATCTTTGCGTGACCACTTTGAGCTTGATAGATTAAAAAGCGTTTTCTTCACTAGCATGTTTTTGTGGAAAGTGAAAGAAATGAAAGAAAATAACCGAGGCCGCTATTGGGAGCGTTCCGTTGGTGAGCTGTTTCCAGAGGTAAATATTACAAACGCATTGAACGCATGAACAATGCGAAAAACGTTTTTTCTGACCACGTTTGTTTTAAGATTTTGAATGAGTTCACAACGTATTTCCGTAAACGTGAATTGAAATATTTTTGGAGTCCATCGCACAATTTAATGGGGATTTTAAGGCCTAAAGAGCTCGAAGAATATTCCGGAAAATTGGAGAAAGTAAATAAAGCGTTTCAGAGCTTACGTGGTAAACGGAATTTGACTTATGACGATTGCGCCAAATACTTTGAGGTATTGTAGAATTTACTTGTTCTAATACAAGCACACATGTTTCCTTTTTTTAGATTCCATCTTAAGATCTACGGACTTGAGGCTTTTAGTTTACCCAAAGACTGTCAGCAAATGGATAAACTTTCAATTTTCTTTTGCCTTTTCATTTACATTGTCATGCATTCATTCTATATATATACATATATATATTGTTCTATTTTATCCGAAAGCTTGGAATAGCTATTGAATTTTTATTTGAAACTTATGCGTTCCTACTAATCTCACCTTCCATTGTGAAATCATTTGCGTTTTCTCTAAAGGTATTTGCTTGAAACCTTCTCCGCAACGTTTAATTTATTTGGAGAGAAATCTAATTAATTTTTTGTTCTTTCATTCATTCATAAAAGTGTACGTAACTTGTAGTAACAAATAAATAAACAAACTTTCTGTTTTATTAATAAAATTTTGTAATCGAAATTTGATTCGAAGTGATTTAAAGTGTGTATATAAATTGTGTATAGAGTCACTAGAAGTCTTCTTGTTTTGGAACCAACGATATTGAACCTACGTAAGCGTTTGCTCCTGTTCTGCTGAGAGAGCTCGCTCACGTGGTTGATAGGTAATGCAGGGGTATGTTCGTTTGATGATGGTTTGAAGATAATCAAGATTTGACCGCACATTGAAGACATTGCGAAAGCTTCAGATTGACTACATCGATTTAAAATAATAGGCTCTCAAGCAAAAAATCAAGCAAATTGGAATAATCAAATAAAAGAATTGAATGCTTCGGCGTTTATATCATAGATCCAGATAGATAATTTAGGTAATTGAATGCCTTGAGCGTTTCGTATTATTTGCAGCTGCAGGTTCACTTATCTGGAACTGTTGCGTTTTTTGCGTTTTCTCATTATTGGAAAAATTTCGAAAGGTTATTATGGTTACTGGCTGATCCAATATAGAAAAATATTTATATAAAAAACTAACGGAAAAAGCCAATTCATCGGATCCCAATAAAGTTCTAATTAACATCATTTAAAATACAAATATAAGAACTAATATAATAAAACGATTAATTTTTTAATTCCCTCTTATATATTCTTTTCTACAATAAAGTACTAACAAAGAAATTGTTAGTACAAAATAATTGATTTGCTACGCAAACTCTCGGTTTTGCTTTGTTTGATTGCTCATGGAGACGCAACGTAACGCTCACATAGTTTTTAAATGCAGTGAATGAAAGTCGAGACCAAATCTCTGCTAAACATAAAACCCAAAGCAAAACTAATAAAAATTCCACGCTCATACATACACTCGATGACGTAAATCGAGTACGAATGTACTCGAAGGGGCATTTGCGGAAAAGGCTCAATTTTGCTCGTAAAGAATTAAAAAAAGCTTTTGTGCATCTTAAATCCGCTTTCAAAGTGATTTCCACTGTTTTCAATAAACTCAGAAAAGTAGCCGTACTTTTCGTGAAGACATGATTGTTCTGATATGCCCCCAAAGACGAATTCTCTTTAAGCAAATGCTTTTGGGTCTTTTTTCAAATATTTTATACCCCGCGTTTCTATCCTGACAAAAACTCAACTCACCAAAGTCAGGTAACCGATCTTTTCCATTTTTATAAAGATAATGTGGGATCATCCGTAGTATATATGCGAAGATTTTTATCGACGCGCTTGCTATATTGCATGAGTATATAACGCGGCCTGGTAGCACTATAAATTTAATAAGGAACAAGAATCGAACTGAAGAAAATTTGAAGGGGCGTATATTCAGATATTCGTCACAGGCAGTACACATACAGATAGACGAACATATGGATATGCTTGGATTGATTCAGATTTTGATACTGCTCAAGACACCTTGTAAAATATCTGACGCTTCATTTTGGGTTTGTGAATATATTTCTAACCTCTTAATGATGGCATAAAAATAAATATTTTTCGTATAAAATACGAAACACTTACTGCTTACTGACTTTTATCTATTTATGTATTTTGAATTCATTCATTCTAAGCTTTTTACGTTACATTATTTTCAAACACAAAGCTCAAAAAGCAACGATAACTTTCTCCACAACTCGACTCACAACAGGGTACGCATTGGTGCTAACATGTGTAACAATACTTTGATAATTTTAAGCAGATTTACATGCGTAAATAAATATCCCAGCCCATAAATATCCCCGACCGTATGATGAAAGCTCTACAAAACAGTCCAGCCTTAAGCGAACACTTTGCAGTCATCTTCAACCTCTAAAGTTTAAAGCCAACGTGTAACATTGTATTTTACAAATTCTTTAAAGTAAGTGCTGTAGTTGCGTAAAAGTTCCCTTTATTATCATAGGCAACGCTCTCTGCTGGCAATAATTAAAAGGACAGAGAAATTTAGAAATTTTCAGCTACGACGTTATTATTATAGCTAAGAAAGCAGGGGTAAAAAAAAGGGGTAAAAAACTTATATATTCTACCAGCAAGCTTTCTAGTATAAATAAAAACGCTCTCTACACTCATCCTACAAACAAAGTATTTCCCATGCATTACTTTTATGCGCTAACCGAAATCATTTTCAAAACCTACTTTTTGGTTGTTCGCAAAGACTTACTCTTCAACAATAGCCCTAAGTCCTAAGTTTTAATTATTTTTATTTTGCAATGAAAACAATTATTCTGTTTTTAAAATTTATATAGCATATGCATTGTGTTTATTGAGTGATATGCAAAAAACACGGAAAACAAAAGTGTTCCCAGTTTTGTGGCATACGCGGTATGAGTCATTTTTGAATTTTTCTGGAAATTTGTGGACGATATCTTAATTTTTGCGAACGAAGGTAAATTCTACGTAGTTAGGCAGACGGGCGGGCGGACAAGCGAACGGACGAACATTCTTAGATACATTCCGCATTTGAAAGTGGCGAGGAATTTATATGCTTTAGGGGATTTTTGAAGCTTCCTATTGCGAATTATAAATATATCAAAAAAAATTAGATTTTTACGGGTAGGCGTGGTCAATTTTTCCTCTTTTTGTGTAGGAGCTCCAGCATCGGTCGTGGCGTATACACTGGAATTCGTGTAGAATTATTTGCAAAAAAACACATTTTATTGCTTTTGAAAAGTAGAGGTGTTCTTGCTTTACGAGGTACTGTAGGTGCGCCTTTTGGTCGATTTGACCCATTCTCAACATTCAACTGCTCAATTTGAACTTGATAGCTTCATTTTTGCGGCCATGGTGTCTACAACAGATATTTCGGAGACGGGCAGATGGACGTACTTAAATCGATTCAGAATTTGAAGTTTGCGGGGTCTCTCAAGCTTGCTTCCTCATTCTTCGGTGATGGGTATAGAAATGGTAAAACCGAATACATCACATTTCACCTGCTTCATGTAGGTGGCGACAGGCGAAATGAAGATTACGGTGAAAATGCTGGTGTTGGTATTGTGCTTGTAAAAAAGATCGATAAGCAAGCTGTTTGGAGAAGGCAAAGTTAGTCGAGTCAAGGGACTTGAATCGAAACATGCAAACGGACGAGACTAGAAAAAGTTCCTGTTAATGATTTATAAAAACATCTCCTAAAAATTATAGGTAAAACCTATGCCGTCCTGGTCACAACTCAGTGGTATGAACTTTACGTTACAGTCATAAAATACGGTTTAGGAGTAACTTAGGATTAAAATTGTTTGTCGTTGATGTTGTTTCTGTTCTATCAAAATTTAAAATATTATAAACACATTTTTGTGGCTGTTGGCCTTTATGCCAATCATGATCTTCAGGGTTTCTTTAAATGTTTGACAGAGAAAATGTTTAAAAAAGTACATTCTTTCATTACACGAAAGCAGAACACAGGGACTGTGTTTGGAATCACAATTGAGATTAGGTTCATTTGTAACATAAGTACCTATTGTTCAGTTTATATTCAACATCCGGCGAATATACACCTTACAGCGTATACTTGATTTTCCTCCGCGCTCTTCTTTCTTAGGTAGCTTTTTAATAATTTTCTTTTTCAATATATTTCTTGTAAGAGGAGGCCGTTGACGTGTTCTAAGATTAATCTGTTTGCCTCTGGCAAAAAATTGTTGTAAAGATTGGAACAAGGTGATAAGGTGGTCATATTAAGGTCGTTCTCCCAAACCTGTCGACTTGTCTGTTATAAAAATCCGCCTATCGCTGCTTCTACCCCATCGGTGGTGGTCATAGTGACGTGAATACTCCTGCTTTCCTCACGAAATCTGCTAGCACAATACCCGCGCAGCCTATAACTACGGCTCGCACAGAGCCGCGTATGATCAGCACAATGAGTCCCATAGCAAGCCAAATGATGGGCTGGTGAACATTTTGAAGAAAACGGATAATTAATTATCACTATCTTCTTCTTCTTTTTACAAAATATTCAACGAGTCAATAATTGATTATTCGCCGGTTCAAATTGGTGGTCCTCGTCTTGGAGGCCGAAAGGTTGCCGGCATCACCTAAAAGTCGACTTCTCCCAATGACGTCTACCAATCAAACAAGAGGTTATAGACTTGGATGTTTTTAGGTTGGTTATATTTTCTTTTGATTCATATTGGCATCACATTTGATCAGCGGCAGTTAGCAAAAATGCCCTGAAAAGAAAAAAAGAAATGAAGCCTGAAAGTTTCTTCCGGTATTCTATTGTAACGCTCCTCGTTCATATGTTCTTAAAAAATGTTGTATTAAAACTTGCAAATCTATTCTTTTTCTCTTATTTGACTGTTCGCTCGGGGAATGCAGATGGGTTTTCTCAAAGGTTGGCAGTGCGGTGAGAGGACGAGGAGTTACGTGAATGTCTTTTGGTGCCTCATATAATGGATTTGTTTTGTCTATTTTTATGTAAAATTTTCATTTTCGATTTCTTATATTGCATGATTTTTGTATCTTAACGATTCTTTCAAAAATGGTACCTTTGCAGAAACTAAACTAATTTCACTCGCTGCTTATTTCTTATGCATACTGCCGAAGGCTGAGAATATATGCATTTTGTTAATATATATACAATAACTAGCAAAAAGTTTCCGATCAGTATGATATATTTTATCCACTCAAATATGTCCGTGTCATCTCTGTCTGTCCATTTGTCTGTGCAATGTTTGTTATAAACATGATACTTATTTGAAAAAAAATCAAGCTATCGCCATCAATTTTGGCAGAAACACGGGAGTGTCTTGCCTGCAATTTAGTATTGAAAATGAGAGAAATCATGGGTTGGTAGGCCTCTGCTCATTACTAATAAACCACAACAGAAACATGGTAAAAATTTCTGCACATATTCCATATAAGCGAAAAAATCAACTCTGAGTACAAAAGTGGTGAGTTTAAGAGATTCATTGGTCGTAACCTAAAAAAGGTATAGAGAATATAAAATGGGGTCTATCTGCTAGGGCTGATCTTCCAATATCCATTTAAGATTGGAATAAATGGGCTACGCCTATCAAATATTATAAAGTATCGCAATCGCCTTTTTTCTCTGAGTTTTTTAATTTAAAAAAAAAAAGGCTCTGGGTGTAAAAGAATCGGCCACAGTCGGATTTCTTACTTGTTTCTTTTTAATAATTATGTATAATTAGTATAATACGTTACAGTTTATTATTAACGATTATTTGTATTTTCTTTGGACATCTGGTAATGTGATAGAATCCGGTAATATAATAGCGGTCTTTTCCCAACATATGACGGAGACGCAGGGAGTACAATATAGTATGCGATCGTCCAAAAGCTTGGTTTAGTTGAAAGTTTCCAAATTATTTTGTTTTCGTAACGATAGTAATAAAAGTGTCATAAGAATAATTGATAATAACAAAAAAATTATTGCATCAATAAGAGTCTAGAGTGCCGTTGAAAATGTGAAATATCTATAGATACATTAATGCAACGCAAAGCAATGATTTGAATTAAGATAACTTAGGTCAGCGCTATTCTATGTGGAAGTAGAGACATTTCATTGTTTGCTAAGCTTAGTGACATATGGAGACTTTGGATGATGTGAGTAGAGACCCGAAAAATTTTACTTTTGATAAACTTTGTAAACGTTTTGAAATGTACGAAATTCACGCAATAATATTTAGTTAAAAATTGCATTTATCAAGGCCTTTAATAAGGCTGCGTTGGGACAATGTCTCGTAAATGAAGGAAAAATACTTTAATTGAATAGAAAGAAGGGGAATATGGAATACTGTTATATGGTCTCCTGCAAGCTTTCTGAACTCATTTCCAGTTTTAATGCAAGGGTTATAAACGTTTCAGCAACAAACACTTGTTGCCTATCATGCATCAATATGTGACTAAATCACATGTGACCATCAAGTAAGAAACATCACAATTTAACAAATATCAGAGTCCGAGCACGTAATGAACCCTCTCTCTCTCTCTCTCTCATTTTGTGGGCAAGGCAAGTGCTCATCAAAATAATTTACGTTTCAATGGTGGTAAAGCAAATCTTTGCAACATATTCTACTCTCAGTAGTGCGCTAATGTTGGTGCAGAATAGTAAATAAACAAAAGTAGAAAATTACTTAAATTATTCCCAAAAGAACGTTTAAAATTTTAACGTTATATTTTAATGTAAAAGAAAAAAAGAAAGACAGTCAAAGAATCGTAAGAACATGTTTGACGTCATATGAAATGATGATGAAATAAAAACAGGCAGAGAAAAGAAACCACTTTGCGGAAGACTTTTAAGTGAGAAAAATAAATAAAAAGTCGATAACACAATAACAAAACGAAACCTAATTAACAGCAACAGCGTCCTCATCACACATAAAAGAGTGGAGGGTTAGAGAAATCGTCAAGTGTAGGATAAACATTTTATTTACAGTTGTGAACTAGATCGCAAAGTTTGCTTAAAGGATGCGGTGATTGCGTAAATAAAAAAAAAAAAAAGGAAACAAAAAAAGAAAAACAAAAAATAGTGAATGGCTTGAAGTGCTTTGAATTTTTACGATTTTTGAATACATGAATAAGAAAGCGCAGCAGAAAAAAAAAGTAGAAAACATTTCGTTTCATTGTTTTATTTGGTTCAAGTGTCAATTAAGTTCATTTAATTCAAAGTGAAGTCAAAACGAAGAACAAGAACACGAAAAAAAAGAAGAAGAAGAAGAAGCAAAAAATTATTTCTTACTATTTCAAACGAGAGCGCCTCGAGTGCCATACACAATTAAAGGGTCATCAGTTAATTTAAATTTTTTATTTTTTTTTTATAGATTTCTCGTTTCTTGTGTTCTCTTTTCGGTTTTTTTTTTTTTTTTGTTTCTTTTTCCACATAACAGTGCCTTTCTTTGTTTCTTCCGAATAAACAAATAAGTTATAATATTTTTAAAAACATTTCTTTATTAACCTAAGCCTAACTAATAATCAAACCTTCGCGTAACCTGCTATTCATTACTTAACCGAATACCTTTTCGATAACAGCATGAAGCTAATTGGATTATTATTAAATTTGGCTACTACAGGTAAGTCTGCCCGCAGTCTGTCGGTAATTTCCGTCTTAACCATATTTTGCTTGTGAAACTCTTTTTGTCTCCTCTTTGCGTTGCATTTCTTTGCACCTTCTTCAAAATGCTTTCGCTCGAAAAGCATGAAGAAGTTTGTGTGGAAAACAAACGTCGAAGTGAGTTTGTTAAACAGCCATCATAGTCTTTTTTTTGCATTCAATATATTGGAAAATAAAGTCGAAACATGTATTAAGTGCAGTTTATAGACTTTTTTGTTTCTAAAGCAATTGAACATGTACAGGTTATGTAAGCACAGTGCGTTGTGGAGAGACAATTGTGGGTTGTTTTTCATGTTTCAACGCGGTCAACTCGGAAAACGAGTATCAAAAACACTTTAAAGTGTAAAAAAATTGGACAAACTAAGGATCAAATCAATCCACAGTTGGTTACCCGATGTCGAAACAATTCGCTGGAACATCATATTATTCAAATCGTGCCAAGAATGATCGACGCATACTTCCGCATATATAGACCATATATGTTTTCAATCTCCACGAACAGCATTAACGATTTATTCCCGTCTAGTTTTTGAAAACTACAATTATGGTCCAACTACTCGAAACTGCAGTTACGATCGCAAAATATCGGCTATTATCCTCAAGTTAAATTTGCAAAATAGCTAAGAGAGATCGTACGATCCCACACGTTGTTGAAATTAAAATATTACTTATTCATTCCTTCATATAATTTATAAAATAAAACAAACAAACTTTTTAACCCCTTAGCACGATTTACGGGTTAATGTTTCACTTCAAATTTATTAATGATGAACAAATTCACGTTTATGTGTTTGTAAGCATTTAGCTTACAATTAATGTGTTTTTGTAACACGACTTTCATATAAAGCCGAGCGAAAATTGTGGGGCAATGCTCCTGCAACACACCTCCTTATAGCGCGTGTTTCATGCTCCATTAAGTTCATATTCGAATAAATTAAAAAGCTTGAAGAATGTATCTGTGGCAGCACATTTCCGGGTTATTGGCAAATCCAGTTAGCAGGGAATTTCCCTAAAAATTGGCAAACAATAAGACATACTAAGTTTGCGCGGACTTAAGGCGGACATATCGTTGCTTAAACCGATCGGTTCACAACGTAATTTTTTTAAACTTCTCTGCCCGTCTGTCGGCTTCGTTTTCTTGTATTCAACTTTTAGGTGGAAGTTTTTGAGACAATTTGACGAAATTTGATGCGCCGACATCTTTTAGCCTAAGGATAAACGCTACTGAAAATGTTTCGAATCGGACCAATTTTTCGACCACTTTGCATATTACGCTTAACGATGAAAGATCATTACATGAATGCGCGTATGATGGCGCAGGCTATTTTATGGTGGTGGATCGTGGTCCACTATCGTGTTCCTGCTAGTTCTAATCTAAGAATTTATTTCTTTGTGATAAATGAATTATAATAATCACAATAGCAGTATTGTTTTCCTTTATATCTTTACGCGTTATGGTAAATACGAAAAATTAATCCCTTATTTGTTCCAGGTAATAAGCTATTACGAAAAATACTCAGAACATTTGGGTTTCCTACTCCTTCTCGTTTTTAGACATAGAATGCGTTATTGTGGGCGGTCTGCCTACATTTTAAAACGTTCACGCGTTCATGCAAAGCGTTCATGGAAACATATACTCAATAATTCGCAGATTCCTAAGCAGCAGAAGCCGAAAGACAAACCTATTGCGCTTACATCTTTACCTTATTTTTAGATTCTTATGTGACAAAAAATAAACGCTTGTTAAACCTAGTCCATTGTGCACACTTAAAAGTTAATGTGATATTTTGCACTACTAGGTAATACGTATTAAAGTATAAAAAAAATACACAAAACATTATCTCAGTAGACAAGAAAATTAAATAATTTCAAGACCTCAAAAAACATGGCGTGATTAATATTTTTCATATAAGGAAGAATTGTGAACGAATTTTCTAGGTCTATCGCTTTTATCTTAAGAAGAATTCAAAGATGAAAACTCGATACCATATCATATTGGGTCGGCTTAGTTAATTTTTTTCAATTGGGGGATCCCTCATTGAATAAATAAATTTGTAGTGCCATAGTTTGTAAGTAAAGTCAATTTTTTTTTTTTTTTTGCGGTCGATAATAGGACTATTCTCAGCATTCGTTGTTCTGTAAAAGTGTCCTTAAACCGATTTGACTCATTTTCACGGGCAGACGGGAAGACATATAATGTGCTGATTAAGCATATTTATATATGCCTTATAAACATTGGAATACATGCATATAGAGATTGGAATACAAAAGTTCATTCGCAAGAAACTTACAACAATAGGTTTTTTCTTGTTTTAATTTAATTGTAATTTTCCAGACATTGTCTCTTGGAAGATGAGACATTATAAGGGGAGTGGTAAAAAGGTGGTCCGAATCGGTTTTTTTTTTTTTAAGATAAAGATGGTGAGATGGTAAAAGATTCGGATATAACCGAATATGATTTTTGTACTTATTTTTCTTACATTTCTTTCTTAAAATAAAGTTGATGCATGTCTCGTAGAAAATGAGCAAAAGGTTTGGATAAATTCTATAATCCTTTTATCTAAAAGTAAATTACTAATGGACCGCAATAGAAGCGATCTGTATAAAATAGATTGAGAGAGGCATCTGTGGGTTTATGTTTATTTGTAAATTCGGATTACTAAGACCTGACGCTGGTATGGCGTTGGTCTCCAGTTTTCGAAACCACTATTAAAAACCAACTAAAAATAATGTAAAATGTAAAAACTATCAAATCTGCTCTTGCTCCGACGATTTGCAATTTTGTAAAACGAATAATTTTTTGTTGTTTATTCTTAACAGCGGAAAGAAGGAAAACATCTATTTACTGTAATTGAGGCCACAATGTTTAGCACGATTTAGTACAACGTTTAATATCATATTGACGTCTTTATAAGTTTAAAAAGAGTTTTCGATTGCCTACTTCTAGGCTTTTAATAACAAATTTGAATAAAAATCAAGTTCAAAACTAAAGTTAAAGTTACACAAATGTCTTATTCTACAGAAACCGATGAACGGATAGTTAGATAGTCTGTATTCGCGGGTTCGAAGCTCAAATGTGTAGAGCTTCCTTTGGTCGTAGTAAGTGCCCAATTGGCATAACACTTAGTTGGATAATACTTATTGGGCTGCGCCCACCATCGCCCTTATCTCTTTGTTTTTGCTTGCTTTTTTTCGGCCGTCACCGTGTTGCACCGATAGGGGATATTCCTAGATATCTTAACAATTATAAAGAAAATCTATGCTTTCTTAAAAAGCATTATTCAGTGGTATGAACTTAACCTCAAAAGGGGTCGGATAAACAAGTAAAATCACGAAAAACATGTCTACGTTACATTACGAATTCACATTTCCTCGACTAGACTATCTTTACCAAAAATTGCCGAATTTGTAATAATAGTGGGGCGTTGTTCTGGCCTCCGCCGTGATATGAAAATTAAAATTTTGGTCCTTAGATGAAAAAATTCCCTACTCTTAGGACGGGATATAACAAGCGGGTATGACTGTAATCATGTAATAAGACCGTTATATCGTAGCGAGATTTCTTGTGTCCGGGTTTATGCAATGACTTTTGTAAGGCGCAGTCACGAAATACGTATTATACGTAAAGGAAACGCTAGCATTAATTGAAATCTTGGTATCACTTTATGAAAGATGTAACTGTCCTTAGAAACGATTTTACTGTCGCTACGATGTTTTCAGCAAAAAATTTATGCTAAAGTTCAGCTCATTTCACGGAGTTATGATGCCAATGGACTCAGGTTTAATATTATTGTCATACAATTTAACCCGCATTAGAAAGACTCGAAAGACCAGAAGGCATTGTATAGTAAAATACATATAGAGGAGATAAGAAGGGCGACAGTGCAAGCAACAAACTTAAACTTTGCGAAGCTAACTAACTAACTCAATTTCATTAATTGAATTGAAGACGCTTTGATTTCTCTCAAAGAAGGTGTGAGGTTGTTATTATGAACTTTGTTAAATTAATTAAATGTCTTAAAATTCATGAAAATTAATTTCGCATAAGCAAAGCAAGAATGAGATGGATGAAATATACACAGTGGGTTTCAAAGTGGCTTAATTCGAAAGAATTAAGGGCGGGGTTATACGTTAGGAAACTCCATCTTACCTTACAATCTTGACGATATTTGGTTCGATGTACCTTTAGATCACAGGTTTTATATGCGAAATTTTGCTAAAAAGCTATCGAGTTACGCCAATAAGAAGAAGAGTTCGCAGAGAGTATTCTATATTTTTATTGGTGAAAATGGATATTCTTACTACGATAGTGCAGACTGAAATCCTCGAATATTTGTTATCTTCATCCTTAGCTGTACATCGCAATTTAATAAATTCTATATTTTAAAGTTAGTAGGGAAGGAGTTCTCCTAATTAGCTAATAAGTGAAATGGTGAACACATTGCTATTACGATGTCTAGATTGCACAATTTCTGTCCACATGTGCTTAATAAAATATTATTGTACAACGATGTGCGAAAGCGTTCATATTACACAAAAATATTTAAACGTATTAATGCATTTGTGAGAACGAGAAAAATTTCTTATTATGCTTGAAATTTATTTAAAGTGAATAAGTTAAAGACTATAAGGCGGCAAGTGCATGACTAAGCCAAACTATTTGACAAACTACATTGAAATTTGTTTCAGGTACAGTCCTAATATCTTTATGGTGGTTCGGTTATTGGACGCGCAAAAAAATCACATCAACTTTGGCAAAGTCCACTTTATGCAAATAAAGCAGGGCAAGAAACTACGGGTATTTCATCACAAGAAAAATTTTAATTAGCTTTCCGATTGAGTAAAAGCGGTATGTAATCGATGCCTTTTCCATGGTGCACGAAAGCTAAGCAGAACAAGTTTTAAAAGAGTAAGAATTTCTTAAGATGTACGTAAACGGTTACCTTTAACTTGAAACGT